TGCTTTTGATTTTTTTCAAAACAAAAAATTGGACCATATATCTCCTATTTTTTTTAAAGATTTATTTATTTACTCATACAGAACTGGGGTACAGGCCAGAGATGCAGAGGGTGAGAGGATTCACCAGAGACAGAGTGGGGAGCAGAACAGGCAGATCGACGAAGTACACTGCTGAGGGGAGCAGTGGGCGGGTCAGAAGAGGTCTGCCACGCCATGTGGTCATCTCCGGGGCAGGTGGGGATCGAACTCATGTAGAAGTGGCTTAAGCTTCTAAGTGCAGTGCTTTAACCCACTGCACCACCAGGGAGAGCCATGTCTCCTATTTTTAATTTTATTAAATTTAACTCCATACAATACTTTAATGCAAATAATTCTGCATTGCAAAAGAACAGTTCAGTTGTCTTGTTTAAATATAGCTTTCCCTTAAACTTGCTATGAACTTTTTTGACTACTATTAGCACATCACAAGGGCGTTTTGACAAACAAAGCAGGCAGTCTGAAGCCTGTAACCTAATATATTGTTGAGCAATTTGACATTTTTCCATTATACTTAATGATAGTTTATTTGGTGAGGTTTTTTATATACTATTAAATGTTACCTTTTAAATTTTTTGTGGGCATTTAGAAATCAATTGAACCTTTCAAATATCAGAATTTTACCATAAACATGGGAAAAATTTTAAAGAAGGTACATGAATAATTGAGAAGCTTTTAGTGTCTAAATATAGCAAAAAGTATAAATAAAATTATTTTCTACAATCAGAATTATCAATAAAAATTTTAATTGGACATTAGACTGTTCTGCTTTTAATAATTAGCACTAATTTTAATTTTTACACTGACTTGTTAAAAAACAACCCTTAAATAGTTAAGATGAGAAAAGGTAGAAAACAAGCAAATATTGAATTCCAAATAATTTAGAGGACTGACTGCCTGGTATGAGTTCAGATGTCTGAGCTTTAGAATCTTCTGAATACTCACAGAAGATAGGATGTGTATATTGAATTAAAGATTTCATTTAGTTTTAAAAAATAAACTACTATAGGGCCCTCCCTGATGGCGCAGTGGGTTAAAGCACAGCACTACAAGCTAGCGGCAGCAGGCTCAGTGCATGCTAGTTAGATCCTGAGGTTACCCATGTGGCCAGGCAGACCTCTCCTGACCTGCCTGCTGCTCCCCTCAGCAGTGTACTTCCTCGATCTGCCAGTTTTGTTCCCCACACTGTCTCTGGTGAATCCTCTCACGATCTGCACCTCTGGTCGTACCCCAGTCCTATATGCATAAATAAGTAAATCTTTAAAAAACAAATAAATAAATAAACAACTATAGTTCACTAATTTTTTTTTTTTTTTTACCTTTAGGAGCTCATCTTTCTAGTTATCCTTGTGCTATTTTTATTTTGTTGCTATTTATTGTACTTTTCTTGGTTATGTCCATGTCTGTATATAATTTTTCCTATAAATACATGTGTAGTATCAGTCGTCCAGATGACCTTTACATGTGAATAGAATATTTTTTAAGTGGAAATAAAATACCTAAGTCTTGTTCTTGTCTCATTTATTTACATATATATAATCTTATTTCTAGTTTCTAGTTCTGAAGTTACAGCCCTAGTACCATTAAAACCCTAAGGGTCTCATGAAATCCTAGCACACCAACTGACATATTCAATAGATACTAAATAATTTTGGTCTTTATGCTTGTTGGTTAACTGTTCCTCAATACACCCCCTTCCACTCTTTACTTGAACCTGATGAGATAATCAATTATGGTGAACGAAGACCACTGTCTTGAGAGTTGTTTACATAAAGTTCTTGATATTATTTGGAAACTTTCTTCCATGATAACTTTGTCCCAGAAAAAGTTAAAAATTTCCACAAAATTAACTAGGTCAAAGAGGTGTTACTATTATGTGATGAATCTGTCCTTTCCCTCACTCATAAATGTCTAATATATAAACTCTAAACTCTAAATCAGATGGTGCATTCACACAGATATTGTCATTTATTTCCCTTAGAGGTAGATGGTATATACATATCTTACCAGCTGTTCTGCAAACCACATACATTGATTATGTGCAACAAATGCGCTTTTCTTTACCTGCTTCATCTTACACTTGTTACAGCACATGAATATTAGATGTTGCTCATGGGAAAGTATTTGCATCTCTATACCAGCTTGGCTACCTGCTAACTAGTCTTCCATTCCTATTACCAACTATTATTTTTAAATCCTCATTTTATTTCAAACAATTTACCATTGTCAAAGGGTCTTCTAAGGAGGACATTGCTGAAATAAAATATTTTTTATTCTATGGATGTACTGAAAGTTCAATAGTGGTGTTCTTTAAGTGATTGATAGACCATATTGCAAAATGCATGACTAATATATAAATCCAATATTAAAATTTAAATAAAACCATATATATATAACTTTTATAATAATTATTTAGTCACCATTTTTGTTTTGTTTGTTTTAAATTTCCAACTGTCTTGGTAAACAAGTCGGAAAGTACCAAAGAAAGCTATTCATCCTCTCATTTTTCACTCATTCATTTACTGATACTCCAGATATTGGCTGAGGGCTTATTGTGTACTTTAAAAAGATGAAATAAATATATGAATTCATTATCTGATAAAATTTGCACCTAGTAGAAGTGGGGATGATTACAATTCAGCAAAATCTTATGAATATATATGCAAGGCAATATAGTTAGATATCAAGGGTTAAAGAATGTTTGAGGAGCTTGATCTTCTTTATTTTATTAAGCTGTTTTCCAGATTAATGCTTAATGAAGATAGAATTGAAGGAAATTTCTGATTTTGGATTTGGTAAGGTATTTTGTATTAATGAAAAGTATAATATTTTTTAATAATAATAATAATGAACAGTTATATACCAGAAACAATTTATGGAGGTGGAGTGGGGAATGGGATCAAAAACAGCGTGGGGAGGGAAATGCACTGGACTTTGGTGATGGCACA